GCCCGCCTCAAGCGTGTTTTTTCTTGGATTTCAGGTGACACCCCAATAAAAAGCATTCTCATGGGACTCCATTAAATGTAAATATGCACATTTGGGGTAAGGATTGTAATGCTTTTTTTTTTTTTGTCTTTTTGAGACAGGCTCTCACTATGCAGTTCAGGCTGGCCTTGAGCTCACTTTGTAGCCCAGGCTGGTCTTGAACTCACAATGATCCTCCAGCCTCAGCCTCCCAAGTGCTGGGATTACAGGCATGCGCCACTGTAATGCTTATAGTACTAGGTCTTCTTAGTAATACAAACGGATGAAGGATCTACATATACAAATCAAATGATTTTAGGTTTTTATTTATTTATTTTAGTCTTTTTGAGACAGGGTCTCGCCATGCAGTTCAGGCTGGCCTTGCGCTCACTTTGTAGCCCAGGCTGGTCTCGAATTCAAAACGATTCTCCTGCCTCAGCCTCCCGAGTGCTGGGATTACAGGTGTGCGCCACCATGCCCGGCTTTTTTTTTGCTTTTGAGTCTTGTACTTTTTAACTTTATGGAATTAAATTCAAGGGGATGTGGTTCTATTCTAGAGAGTTTGCCTGTGATGATCAAACCGTTTGATCCCAAGCACCAAAGGGGAAAAAAAGTTATACAGTACCTGAAAATCACGTTACTTTTTAAGTTTCAAGGCAAGAACATTTTCCATTGTGACCTCTCTGTGCATGATTTTCTTATGCTTATCAAATAGAACGCTTTACTTACCTGACATCAGAGATCCAAGTGTTCCATATAAATGAATTTCCAAGGTGTTCAAAGAACCAACACTTATTATCATGTCCACCTGGCATCTTTTGTCCCTTATTCAACAGATTGCTGGATGGAAATATTTTCAGCCTAGACACTTACCATACTTTTCATACTCCAGGTCTTCAAATTACACTAACTGGATGAACTGGCTGGAATTACTGAGTGTGCCCTATCCCTTATTTTCTGACACTGCCCCTCCTCACTCACTCATTCATCTACTGTCACCTACTCCACGCTAACTACTGCTCTAGGCACCATGGATGCAGCAGTCACAACGCCCGCAGGTCAGTTCACTGGTTATCTAATCTCAAAATTGCGGAACACACTAGAGAGTTACATAGCACCACATAAGTTATGTGTGGATCTTTGTCTTCTTTTGCTACACATACTTTAAATATATTCATGCTGCTGCACATTCATCACCATCAGTCATCTCCAGATGAAATTCCGTACTCATTACACATGAATTTCCCAGTACTCCTTCCTCCCCTCAGGCAAGAGTAGGATAGTTACTCAGGCCTTTTACTCAGGCACAGTACTTTTCAGAAATGTTTTTTTGTTTTTTTCTCCGGTACCGGGAACCGAACTCACGACCTTGCACTTGCTGGGCAGGCACTTTGCCGCTGAGCTAAATCCCCAGCCTCCGAGGAAATGTTTGTCAGTTTACCATTGATCATGACATCAAAGGAGTATCTTCCCAAATTTGTGCACAAAGCAGCGGTATTTGTTTTTACTTTTGGGATGACACAGGATTTTGGTATGTATTCCAGGCTGGTCCTGAACTACGTAGCTCAGGCTGGTCTCAAACTTGTGGAAATCCTCCTGCCTCTGCTTTCTGAGAGCCAGGATTATAGGCATGAGCCACCATGGTGGCTGAAATACAGTATTTGTAATAGAGAAATGTGAAGACTGTATGTATGAAAATATTCCTAGGTTAGTGACCACCAGAGAGACACTGTGGACTGCAAATCACAGCAGTCCCTGTGAGGACTCATGAAGAACACTACACAGGTTTTCTATCAATTTATATTATTATCCCTTAAGTTGCATTAGTATTGTTCACAATGTGATACTGTAGTGGATTGATAACTGGTTGTCAACTTATAACCCCCAGCTGAACTGAGTGAGTGGTGCTGGGTGTGGGAGGC